AAAGTGGGTGTCTATGATGACTTTTGAGAAAAAGATCCTGTTTAGCAAGGAACAGCACCAACACTTCTAAGGCTGACATCACCAAAAAAGGTATGTATCATTTGGTGGGATTACAAAGGCATAGTCAACTTTGAGCTGCTGCCACGATGTCAGACCATAAATTCAGAGGTTTACATTCGACAATTGACAAATTTAAATGATACCATCCAAGAAAAACGACCGGAACTAGCCAATAGCAAAGGAATTGTCTTTCACCACCATAATGCCAGGCCCTCCCCATCTTTAGCCACTGGACAAAAACTACTGGAGCTAGGCTGGAATGTTTTGCTGCACCCTCCATATAGTCCCAAACTAGCTCCAAATAATTATCATTTTTTCCGATTCCTAAAAAATTTTTTAAACGGACAAAAATTCCAAAACGACAATGAGGTCAAAACTGCATTGGAGCAGTTTTTTGCTCCTAAAACTAAAGAGTTGTATAAAAAAAGGAAAATGATACCACCCGAAAAATGTCAAAAGGTCACTAATAATAATAAACATAATATAATGGATAAAAATAATTTGACATAATTAATAAATCGTTTTTTGTTTTCTTAAAAAATTCGTAAATATCTTTTTGCCAACCCAATATATATAAATTCTATTTATAAAATCGATGTTCAATTGTCGATAATAATAATAATATAATATAACATATATAAGTTCTCAAAAGAGCGCGGTAAATAGTAGACAAAAATTAAGAAAATGAATCGGAGGAAAGGCAGCTTGGAAATTATAATAGCAAAGCCCAATCCCTAAGAAAACTGATGAGCAAATGGGAACAGAAAAAGTCACACGAACAGTACCTGAAAAGAATAAATACTTTAGACATTAATAAGGAAAGCACGCACAATTGGTTAAGGCGTGGAAAATTAAAGGTTGAAACGGAAGCGTTTATAACAGCTGCACAAGACCAAGCATTAAGAACTTATAATTACGAGAAGGTAATTCTCAAAGCCCCCCCGAGCTGATATGTGCCGAATTTGTCAATCGCAGTCGGAAATCATCGATCATTTAATTTCCGGTTGTCCGATATTGGCAAAATATGAATACCTGGAGAGGCACAGTAAAATTTGTCAATATCTCCATTGGAGTACATGCCGAGAATATGGAATGGATGGACTCCAACCCAAGGAGTGGTACAACCACATTCCAACCCCGGTACGACAGTAGGTTCATGCACAGTTCTGTACGATCAACAAGTCCACCACACTGACAGA